TCTCTTCTATCCCTCCACAAATCTCTCCAGTGGTCACACCATGTTCTAGTTTCCCTCTCTCATAATGTAGCCAAACTTCTGATAGAATATATATATATCTTAGTCGGCCATCTGGTGGCTAGAAGGCTATTATCTGTCCATAGTAAATAAGAATGTCATCTGTTGTCCACCAACCCCCCCCCCCTTTCGCCAAATATATATTATATATATATATCTCTCTCTCTCTCTAATATAATCTATTTAACTATAAGGCATTGAAGTCATAACACAGATCTTGCTCTTTATGGAAGTCAAGGCATGACCATCACAACATTTTTCTGAGCAGATATGTTGGGGCAATAACAATGCTAGATTCCTGCAGATGTGATATGTTTAAATACACCCCCCCCCCCCCCCCCCCTTTTTCCCTTTCTCCAATCACAAACTAATTTATCTTCTTCTTCTTCTGTGTTCCCCCTAACAAGGGCAGGTGGCACAGGGTGTTGTGGTTTACAGCTAGGCTGCAATATCTGCGCCTTTTGGTCCAATACAAACAACTAATTAGTCACTTTTTACAACATGCTTGTTAGGGGGTCAACCCACCCCCCCCCCCCCCCCCCCCCCCCCCCCCCCCCCCCCCCCCCAGTGGGGCCCCAGAACCCATTCTGGGATAATCTAACATATAAATAATTCTACAAAAACAATTTTACAAATAATATGAGAAGACAAACAACAAATCAAATAACAATAATATATTTTACAATGTGAAAACAATTCACACAAAAACCACTGCAAATTATAGGATATATAAACTGAAATTAAATTAGCATGCATCAATATCACTACTGCACGTATTATCATCATCATCCTCATCAACACACTACCACAATCTCATCACCAATGCCATGATTATCACTGCTGATAGGGGTCTGTACTGAGTATATGAAACATTTGGGTAGATCATAGTTACTTGTTGTCCAAATCAAGAACCTAGCACATCACACTGTATAGCACACCAAATAGTGAAATTCACAGACAATCAAGAAACAACAATGTACAGTATATGTTGCATGTGTTCTTTATCAGTGCCTGTTGGTTGATTAAGATTTGCTCCTGTGACCAGGCAATAATTTGTGTCCACTGGAGTTTACAGCTAATGAAGGTGAAGAAGATATTTATATATACATAGATATATAATATGGCTAAGATGGTAGTGAACATGTTTCAAAATTCTCAGCAATCACAATCAGACAGGTTTGCATCCTTGAGAACATTAGGCGAGGAGAGGAGGGGTCAAAGTGCCACCTGAACAGTCAGAATTGTGTAGAGTCATAATCACGCTGAGTCGAGAATGCAGAGACTGGCCAGCAGGTGCCAAACCTTTTCAGGGTCTCCTTGAATTACAACTGAGTTCCGTTCCAACTAACCGGTCGTATATGAACTGGTCGTAAGTCAAATTTCTATTCATCAACACTTTTTTCATTCAAACCGGTGATACAAATTCTACATACATACAAATGCAATATACGTACGTATAATTATTGTACATAATGTGAAAAATGCATAATATGTACTGTACTGCACCAGTTCCTACAACTTTGGGAGCCTGCTAATGTAGTTATTTTTCTTTATTTACTATTTGTGTGTGTGATCATTAGTGTGGATGGTCATAAGTTAAGATCATTAGTGTGAATGGTTGTAAGTTGAAAAAGGTTGTAAGTGGAGGAAAAGGCACACACACACACACATATGTAAAAACTACATTACCATTACAAATACAACAAACACAATTATTAACATTCTAATTCCTCCAAAGTTGCAGAGATCATACAAGTAAAACCTGGATATTGAAGCAAATAAATGCTTGTGAACAGTCAGCAATAACATGAGCTGACGGTCAGCAGAAGCACAAAGACAGCTGGATTATCACAACAATAACAACAACAATAACAACAGTTAACTCTTGCAGTCCCAGAAATACTAAATATACAATGGAACTGACCAGTGGGAAAACCAGATGATCTTACTCAAACACAAAAAGTACTAGAACACATGCGGTGACAGTTGGGACTCATAGGAAAGATCCCATCACTTGATATAAGTGGCTTGGGACTGCAAGAGTTAAAAATATGTGAAGTAAACAAACAATGGGTCATGGCACCACACCAGTCACCTAAGTGCAACCTTTGGCAATTTTCACCTAAGTGCATTTTCACAGTTGTTATTTGTCCCTTTCTAAGGCACACACATGACTTACTATTCCAAATAGTTCAACTGAAACCTTTCATGCATAATTTTCTTCTGATCTTAGTTTTCCCAAAACAAGGATTTAGTGTGTAGGTGACCCTGACATAGAGCAAGCCCGTTGTGTCTTTAATTCTAGTTACCCAACAGACGATTCCTCTGGGGCTCCTTCACCTGCTTAGTAATGCCGGTTATCACAAACTATCTGAAGACTTTTGTGGAACACCATCTCTTTTGTTCAATCTTGAGAGTGTAAAGTTTAAGAGCATCAACTTTATTGCACCGGGTATTATCCCACATGGCCTGATTTGTCTCTTTCTCTTTCCAGAACAGCAAACCTCCAGTTAACAGCACCACATCAAGCAGGAACTTCATAGCTCCCAGGGATCTCTGTCAAGACTGCACTTGTGAACCCAGCCCCCAGGGATCTCTGCCAAGACTGCACTTGTGAACCCAACCCCCAGGAATCTCTGTCAAGACTGCACTTGTAAACCCAGCGCCCAGGGATCTCTGTCAAGACTGCACTTGTGAACCGAGTGATAGTCTGTGAAATGGGGGCATGACCTTCCAGCAGCAAGGCAAGCCACTAAATCATTTACCCACAGAATCAAGATTGCAGGCCATAGGGTGGCATGCTGCAGAAAGCAGCAACAACAAAACATGTTTTTGTTCTGGTAACAAATAAATAAATTAAAAAATTAAAAAATACACTTAAGAGGGGAGTTTCTTGTACGAATGAATGTATGGGTAGTTTCATGTGAGTATATATGTTTGGACAGGTTTATTAAAGTATAGATATGTGGATAGTTTTAAATGAGCATAGATGTGTGGGTAGCTTTATGTAGTTTACATGTGTGGTCAGGTTTAATCAATTATAAATGTGTGGACAACTATATATGAGCATAGATGAGTGGGTAGGTTTATATAATCATAAATCTGTTGACAGGTTTAGATAAATATCAGTCAGTGGACAGGTTATTATGAACATAAATATATGGGTAAAAAGTAAAAGTAAAGGTCCCTTTTCCATGCCTTTAGGCGTATAGGGCAAATAGGGCTAGACCTATATTATTTTATAGATATATAAATGTATGGGTAGGTTCATATTAACAAGAATGTGTGGGTAGGTTCCTGTAAGCTTGAAAGTGTGGGTAGGTTTAAATTAGCTTGAATGGCTGTGCATTCATATTAGCTTGAATGTGTAGAGTGATATCAGCATGAAAGTGTGTGTAGATTCATATTATGTGTGGGTAAGTAGGTTCACATATATTTTGGCAGTGTGGTGTCCCTACTGGGAGGGACAAAGGAAGACATACAGTCACCTCTGACCAAAGCTAGAGCTGCTTTTAGAAGGATGAGGCAAATCTGGAAATCCAACAGTTACTGCAGAGGAACGAAACTTTGACTCTAAAAGAGCATCATTTTGCCAGTTCTTCTTTATGGAGCGGAATGCTGGAGAATGACTAAAAAGGATGCACACTAGCTATCCACCTTCCACCACACATGTCTACGTAGAATTATCAAAATTTTCTGGCCAGATACAATCTCAAACACTAAACTACTTCAAGTTGCAAACCAAGAAACTCTAGACAGTATGATAACCAAGAAAAGATGAAATGGCTTGGCCACGTTATGAGAACGAATCCTGACATACCCGCCAAAACAGCTCTCACATGGAAACCTGAGGGAAAGAAAAAGAAGGGGCATCAAAAAAAAAAAACATGGAGATGAACGATGGAAAGTGAACTGAGTGCTGCATCTCTGACATAGAAAACTGCACTGAAGATTGCACAAGACAGGGATTCATGGAAAGTCCTCTCTAAAGCCTTATGTGCCACTAGGCATAACGAGAATTGATGATCTGGGTAGGCACATTGCATGAATGTGTGTGTGTAGATTCATATTTTTATGAATGTGTGCTTATGCTGATATCAGTATGAATGTATGTGTAGGTTCATATTACCATGAATGTGTGGGTAGGTTCATATTAGCATGAGTGTGTGGGTAGGTACATAGCATGAATATGTGGGTAGGCTGATATCAGCATGAATGTATGGGTAGGTTCATATTAACATAAACATGTGGGTAGGTACATATTAGCATGAATGTGTGGGTAGATTGATATCAGCATGAATGTATGGGTAGGTTCATATTAACATAAACGTGTGGGTAGGTTCATAATAGCATGAATGTGTGGATAGGTTGATATCAGTATGAATTTATGGGTAGGTTCATGTTAACATAAATGTGTGGGTAGGTTTATATTAGCATGAATGTGTGGGTAGGTTGATATCAGTATGCATGTATGGGTATGTTCATATTATTATAAATGTGTGGGTAGGTTGATATCAGTATGCATGTATGGGTAGGTTCATATTAATATAAATGTGTGGGTAGGTTCATATTAGCATAAATGTGTGGGTAGGTTGATATCAGTATGAATTTATGGGTAGGTTCATATTAACATAAATGTGTGGGTAGGTTCATATTAGCATGAATGTGTAGGCAGGTTGATATCAGTATGAATGTATGGGTAGGATCATATTAACACAAATGTGTGGGTAGGTTTATTTAAACATAAATGTTTGGGTAGGTAGATGTTAGCATGAATTTGTGGGTAGGTTTATATAAACATAAATTTGTGGATAGGTTCATATAAGCGTGAATGCGTGGGTATGTTTATTTAAGCATGAATGTGTGGGCAAGCATATATGTGTATGAATGCGTAGTCACATGTAACGAGGTGAACTACGAAAGCAAATTTTAAGGAAGGGGGTTCAATTCTCTGTGGTGTTGGCAGTAAACACTTCGTTCAGCTGCTGGGTGACTCTGATAAACGTGGTCCTCCTACTCAACTCCTTGAGCTTGGATGCTCCCACGTACGTGCAGGTGGATCGGACCCCACCCAGAATGTCCTGAATGGTGTCTTCTACATCTCCCCGGAAAGGAATAGTGACTGTTTTACCTTCTGAGGCCCTGGAATCATAGAGTACTCTGTTACATTTGGTCACATATTCTGCAGGGATTAAAGGAGTGACTGACAGCTAAGACTTAACAACATCACAGCATATAAAGCAGCTGAGTGCGGTCTGGCTCGACTACCTATCATCTGTTAAAATGTGACACCTTGCAACACAAAGCAGGTACTAACAAAAGAAGATAACTTTAACAGAAATATATGTGTTAAAGTCATTATGTAAAATATTATAGTAGGTAGGCATAGATCATAGTATTTATGTCTTTAAAGTCACATAACATCGTGGGTTATTGGATTACCAAATCACTGTTGACTGACCAGGTCATTACATTTCTGGCTGTCACATGTGCTGGGGGGTGACGTTTTCCTTTTTGAGCCCTGCTCAGTCTGCTAGATTGTGGAAGTTTATCTGGGCCTACATTATCTCCCTCTTCCTGGTACCTCCTTCTTTTGTCATCCCACTGATACCAGGTTGTAGCCCTGTGTTGTGGTTTTCTGTATTTTTGTAGCGTCGGGTGGCCAGAATGATGAAGATGTTCATCTTTTTGCACGTTTCAGCTACATCGTTTATCCATCTCATTTTGGTCTTCTTCTCACCTTCCTCCCAGGTGTTCTGTTGTAAAAACAACTCTCACATGTAGTTTGTTTGGCCGAACAGTTTCATTCTTTGCCTGACAAAATAATTCAGAAACGGTCTTATTCCTAAGTTTCAACTTATAATGCTGGTATTTGTAACACTGTCCCTTCTTGTTCTGTTGGTGACCTTAAGGAGACAGTGTATTTCCAACCTCAAGCTAACCAACCTCAACACAGCTGGCTGCAGTGCTCAGCTTCCTTGTGCCAAGCCCCAGCTTCCTGGTTCTGGAAAAGCCAGTACATTTGATTACATGTCCACACATTACATATTTTCTACTGTTGAAAAGAAAAATTATATATGTGCCAGAAAAATTAGGGCTGTACCGAATATTCGTGCCGTATTCGCTTCGGGGCCGAATAGTGGACCTACTGACTATTCCGTATCTGGCCGAATAGTTGCGGTTGATCCGAATACGAATAGTAGTTACCTTATACCCGCTTCTGCATACACAGCCTTAATGTTGACAATATGGAATGATTGGTTTTGTTGAAAACTAATGCAGCTTTCATGCATTTACTAAGCTGTCAGTGACAATTTCCAAGTTTGGTTACATGTTACAATACTTAGGATTCTTTCAATCCTAGTTATTAGCTACCACAGACTGACTGAAGGATGCAAAACATAAAATGTTTTTAAATGTTTACTATTCTGTATAAATACTAACTAGACATGGAAAGAATATAAACTCAGGCCACATCCAAGTCGATAATATGAAAATCAAAAGAACGGAAACATATAAGTACTTGGGTGCAAACTTCAACTGCTCCAACATGCTGAGAGAAGAAATACAATCTAGAAATAAAGTATACTATGCCCTTCAACATCTGCTAAAGTCAAAGTGTCTGTCTTGCAACACTAAGATAAAAAAAAAAATGTTGATAAGACCAGTCGTTTTATATGGCTCTGAAACTTGAAGCAGAAATAAAAGAGATGAGGCCTTATTACAGGTTTTTGAAAACAGTCTTACAACAAATCTTTGGACCCATTAAAAATGCTAACAGCGGGGAATGGAGAGTGAAAAGCAACAACGTAACACACAATCTGTTTAAATCACCCTGGATCACTGGCATCATGAGAGCTAACAGACTTAAATGGTTGGGGCATATTAAAAGAATGTCAGAAGACAGAGAAGTAAAAACTGTATACACCTGAGAGAGGAATGGGCGTAGACCATGAGGTAGACAGAAAAGAAGTTCGAGAGATAATGTCCAGCCAGACCTGCAAACAACTGGTGTCACAAATTGTGAAGATGAGGCCAGCCAGAGAGATGAATGGAGACAAGTGATATCTGCAGCAGTAAACCTCAAGGGCTCAGAATGCTAAAGAAGAAGATGACTATTCTGTGCTACTTTATGTGAAGTAAAAGTTCAGCGTACATTTGACATTATGAATGAGTTTTTTGGGGGGATATATTTTATACACTATACACTATTCATATTCGGCCGAATAGTTGGTCCCGTTATTTGTATTTGGCCGAATAGTGAAAATCACTATTCGGTACAGCCCTAATAAAAATACTGGTGTATACCAAACCTGACTGCCATGTTGTGCCAATGGCTTTGGGTGAAGGAGCATATAGGGGAGGATACTAGCCTCATCTTAGGAAGAGGAAATGCAACCTAAAAACTCAATTTTATGGCAGAGCAGACTGGTAGCTGGTCTAGGAGGCAACCTCTGACAGCCAGACAGACAAAGCCATACTCCTATGATCTGGCAGCTTCTACGGCATGCTTTGTTCCACACATATTGGTGTTACCTTTCATTTTGAGTAAACAAGGCAGGCTTTGAAAGGGACCAGTGCATGGGCAACACATGGTCTCTACAATATTACCCAGGCTTTATGCCATGGAGAGGAAGAACTTCACCCTTGACCTTCTAAATGCAAGCAGATCTTACCAGTCACACCCATCATCACCTTGTGTTGTTATTCCCATGCGTCCCTCCAGCACAATGTAACACCGCTCTCTGGAAAGACGGAAAAGTGCCAACAAATGAAGTAACACAAACATCCTTAAACTGTATACACCACATGTTGACATTACAGCAGACAAACCTGTACTCAGCCACACCTCCTGCATGCTTTGTCATGGCTGTTGCTGAACTCATGCCGTAAAAGAGCTTGTACTTTTTACCATTCTTCTCTATTGTTTCTCCTCCAGACTCGGTGTGTCCGGCTAGCATCCCTCCTAGCATGACAAAGTCTGCTCCGGCTCCGAAGGCTTTGGAAACATCCCCAGGACAAGTACAGCCACCATCCTGTGACATAACCAATGATGTTTTTGAACTGGATGCTTAAAAAGGAAGGTTTACATTTGAAAGGATCAACTTTATTTACTGCATCAAGTTTGATGGCAGCGAATCTTGGAATGTCAGTGAATAAATTAGGAAGAATTGGGAAGCAACAGAGATGTGGTTTCTGAGGCGAAAGTTACAAATACCTTGGATGGAGTAACTAACAAAGATTGCCTGAAAGAAGCTAATGAAAGATCTCTATATACAACAATAAGAAAGAGACACTCTTCTTTGGCCACATAATAAAAAGAGAGACATTGGTGAACATCGTGACAACTGGAAAGAACACTGGAAAAAGAGGTAGAGGCAGACCAAGAGAGACGATGCTAGATGGACTGAAACGATGGCATGGAGGGATATCATCAAGAGAGTGGTTCCAGGCAACCAGAGATCGTGATCTATCAAGACGTATGGCCAACACTCAACATTTAGAGGAAAGGCAAGACAGACACACAAACAGATCATTATGTTGGGGAGAGAATGATGCAGTGTGGGGGTGACTGAGGAATCTGGCCAACACTCAACATTTAGAGGAAAGGCAAGACAGACACACAAACAGATCATTATGTTGGGGAGAGAAAGGTGCAGTGTGGGGGTCATTGAGAAATCTGGCTAACAGTCAACATTTAGAGGAAAGGCAAGACAGACACACAAATAGATAATTATGTTGGGGAGAGAATGATGCAGTGTGGGGTGACTGAGGAATCTGGTCAACAACCCAACATTTAGAGGAAAGGCAAGACAGACACACAAATAGATAATTATGTTGGGGAGAGAATGGTGCAGTGTGGGGATGACTGAGAAATCTGGTCAACACTCAACATTTAGAGGTAAGGCAAGACAGACACACAAATAGATAATTATGTTGGGGAGAGAATGATGCAGTGTGGGGGTCATTGAGGAATCTGGCCAACACTCAACATTTAGAAAAAAGGCAAGATAGACACACAAATAGATCATTATGTTGGGGAGAGAATGATGCAGTGTGGGGTGACTGAGGAATCTGGTCAACAACCCAACATTTAGAGGTAAGGCAAGACAGACACACAAATAGATAATTATGTTGGGGAGAGAATGATGCAGTGTGGGGATGACTGAGAAATCTGGCCAACACTCAACATTTAGAGGAAAGGCAAGATAGACACACAAACAAATCATTATGTTGGGCAGAGAATGGTGCAGTGTGGGGATGACTGAGAAATCTGGCCAACACTCAACATTTAGAGGAAAGGCAAGACAGACACACAAACAGATCATTATGTTGGGGAGAGAATGGTGCAGTGTGAGGGTGACTGAGGAATCTGGCCAACACTCTAAATTTAGAGGAAAGGCAAGACAGACACACAAATAGATAATTATGTTGGGGAGAGAATGATGCAGTGTGGGGTGACTGAGGAATCTGGTCAACAACCCAACATTTAGAGGTAAGGCAAGACAGACACACAGACTGCTACAGATGCCATCAGAATTAGAACTCTGAAGATTCCCTCGAAGTCGGAGTACATTTGCCCGCGAGGCAGGGAATGGCAAAAGCCATTAAAACGGTTGTACACGCAAAACTCAGGTCCAGGCAAATGCCTAAAGTTCATGCGGATGATTAACTTGGACCTACCGCCGGAATTCACAGCCGGTGAATGAAGAAGAAGAAGAAAAAGAACTCTGAAGTGGCTGCTGAAGACAAGGAAGGAGTGCTCATGGAAATGCTCTGACTGCTGTGATGTCAGTTATAAACTGAACTCAACTCCTTTGGTTGGCCCACGTTTCAGTGTTTGTGTAATGGTCTTGTGAGCAGCCTGCTGTTATGCACACAAAGAGAATGAGCCCTATAGAATAAATCCAGACGCAATGAAGTCGATCCTCTCTCCTTAAAACATATATGCAATAAATTACTACACAATAAACATACATTTTGATACATTAATTCATAATAAATGCCAACAACCTCAGTATACTGTCTTTAACAATAAACCTGCACATCATATGGCATCATCATCAGGTACCTTGCTGACTGGCATGAGCGATCTTGCTCCACAATATGCTATCTCCTGCAGCATGTATCAGTTCGTGTGCTGACACGCCTCCATGCCATGCAACAAGACTGTCAAGAATCTTCTCTTGTTGTCTTCCTCTATCCTTCTTTCCACAGATTTTTCCAGTGGTCACAACATATTCCATTTTCCCTCTTCTCATCACATGGCCGAAAAATGATGACTGTCTCCTTCTGATGTCTGTGATAAGTTGTCTTTGGGCTCCCGCCTCTTTCAAAACCTTTTGGTTGCTCTTTTTGGCTGTCCAAGGTATTCTAAGCATTCTTCTGTAAAACCACATCTCTGAGGACTCAAGAAATTGTTTGGCCTGCCTACCGATTGTCCAGGACTCACAGCCATATTTTAAAACTGGATGTATGTAGCAAGCAAGAATTCATCATAAGTACACAAGTATATTATAAATACCTGTAATATATTTATAAATATATTATAAATGGTATTAGACACTCACTAACACAGAGATCTGGGAGAGAACTAAACAATAATAAATGGTATCAGACACTCACTAACACAGAGATCTGGGAGAGAACTAAACAATAATAAATGGTATTAGACACTCCCTAACACAGAGATCTGGGAGAGAACTAAACAACTTTACGGTGAATCAAGAACTGAGGATAATCTGCTGGCACTGACTAGGACACAACAGTGAGTAAATCTGATGCAAATGCAACTAGAATGTTACTGTAAAGAAACCCACAGGATCAAAGGAATTATGGCAGACCAAAATAGCACAGAGAGGTGATTAGAAAGTGAAGTGGAAAAGATGGGGAGGACATGAGCTGAGCTATATATAGGTTAGTTGCGTATCCTTTACAGGACGTTGCAAAACCAACCCCAACAGCCCCTGGCTGTTGTGTGGTTTTTCTAGGCAAATTTACATCCAGTAGTTTGCCATTATTGAACAACTCCAGATGCAGGGAAGAGACAGAGACATGTTTAAAGAAATTAAAACATTGAAATACGAATTCAGGCCTTCTTAACATGTAATAAGTGATAAAAACAGTAACTGAAACCAAAGACATATTAGAAAGATGGAAAGAATACTGTAGAGAAATGTATGAGGATGAGACAGGTAATTCAAAAACGACTTGTGAAAGTTATGAAAAAGAACCAGAGCCTTTACTGGATGAGGTACGATCAGCAATACACAGCCTGAAGAAAGGAAAGTCACCAGGTTGCGACAAAATACCAGCAGAACTAATTCAAGCAGGAGGAGAGGCCAGCGTCCGAATCTACCATGCACTTTGCTCGAAGATCTGGAACAGTGGCATTTGGCCTAAAGCTTGGAAAAGAACAGTCTATATCCCTCTCCCAAAGAAAGGAAATCTAAAACTATGCTCCAACTACCGTACCATCGCATTAATAAGTCATGCTAGCAAAATCCTCTTACGAATTATCATGAAAAGGATTGAAAGGAAATTACAATATGAACTAGATGAAGCACAAGCAGGTTTCAGACAGGGTAGAGGAACTAGGGATCACATATTTAATATGAGAATAATTTTTGAAAAATGTAGAGAATACAATGTAGATCTTCATGCTTGTTTTATTGATTATAGCAAGGCATTTGATTGTGTCCAGCACCACAAACTGTGGACTATTATGAAAAGTATGGGGTTTCCAGCGCATTTAGTGCAATTAATTGAAAATCTCTATCATGAACAACAAGCAGCCATCAGAGCAGCTGGTGAAACATCTGATTGGTTCGAGGTGCAAAAGGGGGTGAGGCAGGGGTGCATTCTCTCACCATACCTATTCAATATATACACAGAAAATATAATGAGAAATGTCAAAAATGACCAAACTTGTGACAGTTATGATCCGCTCAAAATTAGTGGCAACCCTATTCCGGAACTCCGCTACGCAGATGACACAGTCCTCCTTTTGAACAGCATAAAGGGAATAGAAAATTTAATATTGTCCGTCCAAAAGCACAGTGAAGATCAAAATCTGTTCTTGAATTTAAAGAAAACGAAAATAATGTCCACTGATAAAACTGGCTGTCACCCAAAAATAACAATAAATGATGAAGAAATTGAAAATGTCACAAACTTTGAATATCTAGGCTCTATAATAAACAAAAATGGAGACTGTTCGACAGAAATTAAAAGGAAGATGGCCATAGCAATGCAAAGATTGAAGAGCCTTAAAAGTCTATGGTTAAGCACCAGCAAGGAGATAAAAATTATAATTTTGAGAGCATGCATCTTCCCTGTGGCTACATACAGATGTGAGTCGTGGACTATCTCTGAGTCCTTAAGAAAGAGAATAGGGGCTTTTGAGCTGAAATGCTATAGAAAGATTCTCAGAATATCTTGGACAAAGAAGATGAGAAATATTGACATCTTAAAAGATCTGAACATCAAGGAAGATTGGCTAATAAACAGCATCCTTTCTCGAAAGCTGAAATATTTTGGTCATATCAAGCGCCACGACGGATTGGAAAAAGTTATAGAAGGCATGGTACCAGGAAGGAGGGGCAGAGGCCGACCGACACGAAGATGGACACAGGATATAAGTGACTCCTTGAGTGTGAAAGTTCATGAGGCGGGAGAACTGGCAAGAGACTGAGTTTCTTACAGGCAGACTGTGATGAAAGCGACGTTCTGCAAAGGACCTGCTACATGATGAGTTTGCCATTGCTTTCTGGAGGGTCGGCTTTCTTGATACCACTGTCGAAACCAACGTAAGGCGCATGGCCCGCAGCTGGGATCGAACCCGGCATCCCGGCGCGTTCACATCGACTTAGCCACAGAGCCGACGATCTATACATAACAGCAATAAATAGGACAACCTGGCATGAGTTGGTTGAGGGCTTATGCTCCAATGGGTGACAGAGGGCAGCAGAAAAAAACAATACACCACACACAATAAGCACATGGTTACCAATAAAACAATAATTCAGGACAATGTTTTTCTGATATTACTTAACAAAACAGGGACAGTAATGCACAGTTTATCAAGTATATAATTACAAAGTTTGAATCAATATATGTACAGACAATCATCCGTGATGTTAACAAAAGGAGGATCCCGTATTCAATCTGAGACTTCCCAGGTCTGATATACACTGTAACAGGAGATAATGTGATCTGTGTTTTTCAGCTCAACAGATTAATGTTACGTGCTTCATTATATGCTGTTGTAAACTCTGTAGCAAAGCACTGGATAAGATGCACAAAATATTTAACCGCCCCCCCCCCCCCAACCCAAAAAAATTACGTAATGGGTGTTCTCATTATTTAAAACAAAAAACTAATAACAGTACAATAACGAGAAGAAAAGTCACATAGTCAGGAGTCAACTACTAGATAAATGAGACACTTGCAGGAAAGTTAAGAGTCAACTACTAATAGATAAATGAGGACAAGTTGCAGGAAAGTTGAGAGTCAACTACTAGATAAATTGAGACACTAGGAAAGTTAAAGAGTCAACTACTAGATAAATGACACTTGCAGGAAAGTTGAGAGTCAACTACTAGATAAACACTGAGACGCTTGCAGTCAACTAGATAATGAGACACTTGCAGGAAAGTCAACTACTAGATAAATGAGACACTTGCAGGAAAGTTAAGAGTCAACTACTAGATAAATGAGACACTTGCAGGAAGTTAAGAGTCAACTAATAGATAAATGAGACACTTGCAGGAAAGTTGAGAGTCACTAGATAAAATGAGACACTGCAAAGTTTAAAGAGTCAACTACTAGATAAATGAGACGCTTGCAGGAAAGTTGGAGAGTCAACTACTAGATAAATGAGACACTTGCAGGAAAGTTAAGAGTCAACTACTAGATAAATGAGACACTTGCAGGAAAGTTGAAGAGTCAACTACTAGATAAATGAGACACTTGCAGGAAAGTTAAGAGTCACTACTAGATAAATGAGACACTTGCAGGAAAGTTAAGAGTCAACTACTAGATAAATGAGACACTTGCAGGAAAGTTAAAGAGTACAGATAAATGAGACACTTGCAGGAAAGTTAAGAGTCACTACTAGATAAATGAGACACTTGCAGGAAAGTTAAGAGTCAACTAACTAGATAAATAGACACTTGCAAAAGTGAGTCACTACTAGATAAATGAGACACTTGCAGGAAAGTTAAGACACTCACAACTAGATAAATGAGACACTTGCAGGAAAGTTAAGAGTCAACTACTAGATAAATGAGACACTTGCAGGAAAGTTAAAGAGTCAACTACTAGATAAATGAGACACTTGCAGGAAAGTTAAAGAGTCAACTACTAGATAAATGAGACACTTGCAGGAAAGTTAAGAGTCAACTACTAGATAAATGAGACACTTGCAGGAAAGTTAAAGAGTCAACTACTAGATAAATGAGACACTTGCAGGAAAGTTAAAGAGTCAACTACTAGATAAATGAGACACTTGCAGGAAAGTTAAAGAGTCAACTACTAGATAAATGAGACACTTGCAGGAAAGTTAAAGAGTCAACTACTAGATAAATGAGACACTTGCAGGAAAGTTAAGAGTCAACTACTAGATAAATGAGACACTTGCAGGAAAGTTAAAGAGTCAACTACTAGATAAATGAGACACTTGCAGGAAAGTTAAGAGTCAACTACTAGATAAATGAGACACTTGCAGGAAAGTTAAGAGTCAACTACTAGATAAATGAGACACTTGCAGGAAAGTTAAGAGTCAACTACTAGATAAATGAGACACTTGCAGGAAAGTTAAGAGTCAACTACTAGATAAATGAGACACTTGCAGGAAAGTTAAGAGTCAACTACTAGATAAATGAGACACTTGCAGGAAAGTTAAAGAGTCAACTACTAGATAAATGAGACACTTGCAGGAAAGTTAAGAGTCAACTACTAGATAAATGAGACACTTGCAGGAAAGTTAAGAGTCAACGAGACGCTTGCAGGAAAGTTAAAGAGTCAACTACTAGATAAATGAGACACTTGCAGGAAAGTTAAGAGTCAACTACTAGATAAATGAGACACTTGCAGGAAAGTTAAGAGTCAACTACTAGATAAATGAGACACTTGCAGGCTTACTGATATAATGTGACCACCAAGGCCGTGAGCTGCGTCTGCACACTCTATAACGGCACTGAGCTGAGGGTAGCCAACTCCAGTCTTCTTCCGGGTTGTGCACACTGAACCAGGTCCGATGCCCACCTTAATGATGTCTGCGCCAGACAGTAACAGTTCTTCCACCATTTCTCCCGTGACCACATTTCCTGCCTGCCAGGTGATAAAACAGCATAGAATTAAAGCAAAGAAATGCTGAAATGGATGTAAATATTTAAAAAACAATATCATCTCATAGATAAGTGCAATAAAGACAGTTTACTATCTTATACAAACAATATCCTCACAGATGATAACAGCATAGCAATAAAGGAAGAAATGCCATGCCATTATTTAGGCCATCTGATTATCTCTTGGTCTTCCACTTGCTCTTTTCTTCCCATCAAAGTTACCAGCTGTCACTAACTTTTCACATTTATTTCTCCCCATAGCATGTCCAAATGACCATGACATGTGTACATTGAATTCACATTTCTTTTTACTCATTAAATTTACCTGCTGTCACAAAGTTTTCATATTTATTTCTCCTCACAGCGTGCCCAAACGGAGAACTACCTCATTTATTTTTCTGTCAGTCCACTGTTTTTGCATCCACCCAACCACCCCCCCCCCCCCCCCATCACAATTCCATTCTGTTAGATTTTCCCCAGCTTCTCTAATTAGTGTCCATACATATAATAGTACAGGCTCCCACATAACACTTCCACTCTTTTAGATTTTCCCCAGCTTCTCTAATTACTGTCCATACACATAATAGTACAGGCCCCACATAACACTTCCACTCTATTAGATTTTCCCCAGCTTCTCTAATTACTGTCCATACATATAATAGTACAGGCTCCCACATAACACTTACACTCTATTAGATTTTCCCCAGCTTCTCTAATTACTGTCCATACATATAATAGTACAGGCTCCCACATAACACTTACACTCTATTAGATTTCCCCCAGCTTCTCTAATTACTGTCCATACATATAATAGTACAGGCTCCCACATAACACTTACACTCTATTAGATTTTCTCCAGCTTCTCTAATTACTGTCCATACATATAATAGCACAGGCCCCACATAACACTTAGACTCTATTAGATTTTCCCCAGCTTCTCTAATTAGTGTCCATACATATAATAGCACAGGCCCCACATAACACTTACACTCTATTAGATTTTCTCCAGCTTCTCTAATTAGTGTCCATACATATAATAGTACAGGCTCCCACATAACACTTACACTCTATTAGATTTTCCCCAGCTTCTCTAATTAGTGTCCATACATATAATAGTACAGGCTCCCACATAACACTTACACTCTGTTAGATTTCCCCCAGTTTCTCTAATTACTGTCCATACATATAATAGCACAGGCCCCACATAACACTTCCACTCAATTAGATTTTCCCCAGCTTCTCTAATTAGTGTCCATACATATAATAGTACAGGCTCCCACATTACACTTACACTCTGTTAGATTTTCCCCAGCTTCTCTAATTAGTGTCCATACATATAATAGTACAGGCTCCCACATAACACTTACACTCTATTAGAGTTTCCCCAGCTTCTCTAATTACTGTCCATACATATAATAGTACAGGCCCCACATAACACTTCCACTCTATTAGATTTTCCCTAGCTTCTCTAATTACTGTCCATACATATATTAGTACAGGCTCCCACATAACACTTACACTCTATTAGATTTTCCCCAGCTTCTCTAATTACTGTCCATACATATAATAGTACAGGCTCCCACATAACACTTACACTCTATTAGATTTCCCCCAGCTTCTCTAATTACTGTCCATACATATAATAGTACAGGCTCCCACATAACACTTACACTCTATTAGATTTTCTCCAGCTTCTCTAATTACTGTCCATACATATAATAGCACAGGCCCCACATAACACTTACACTCTATTAGATTTTCCCCAGCTTCTCTAATTACTGTCCATACATATAATAGTACAGGCTCCCACATAACACTTACACTCTATTAGATTTTCCCCAGCTTCTCTAATTACTGTCCATACATATAATAGCACAGGCCCCACATAACACTTCCACTCTATTAGATTTTCCCTAGCTTCTCTAATTACTGTCCATACATATATTAGTACAGGCTCCCACATAACACTTACACTCTATTAGATTTTCCCCAGCTTCTCTAATTACTGTCCATACATATAATAGTACAGGCTCCCACATAACACTTACACTCTATTAGATTTCCCCCAGCTTCTCTAATTACTGTCCATACATATAATAGTACAGGCTCCCACATAACACTTACACTCTATTAGATTTTCTCCAGCTTCTCTAATTACTGTCCATACATATAATAGCACAGGCCCCACATAACACTTACACTCTATTAGATTTTCCCCAGCTTCTCTAATTACTGTCCATACATATAATAGTACAAGCCCTATGTAACACTTCCACTTATTTTTTTTTCTGATTGCAACTGATAGTTGTGTATTGAAGAGTATGTTTTCCATCTAGCTTAAGGCTTCTTCCCCAGCATGATTCGTCTGTTATTATCTACTTGGCATTCTTCCTTAAATGATACGCCTGTTTTAAGATTTCAATTTTTTATAATCCATTTCATGTGGCATTGGTAATCATCAATACCTGTCCTATGACACCACATCTCAGCTTTTTATCTATCCATAGTGTTCTCATCATTCTTCTGTAAAACCATATCTCAGCTTTTTATCAATCCATAGTGTTCTCATCATTCTTCTGTGACACCACATCTCAGCTTTTTATCTATCCATAGTGTTCTCATTATTCTTCTGTAAAACCACATCTCAGCTTTTTATCTATCCATAGTGTTCTCATCATTCTTCTGTAAAACCACATCTCAGCTTTTTATCTATCCATAGTGTTCTCATTATTCTTCTGTGAAACCACATCTCAGCTTTTTATCTATCCATAGTGTTCTCATCATTCTTCTGTGAAACCACATCTCAGCTTTTTATCTATCCATTGTGTTATCATTCTTCTATGACACCACATCTCCAGTGTCCTCATCATTCTTCTATGACACCACATCTTAGCTTTTCATCTATCCATTGTGTTATCATTCTTCTATGAAACCACATCTCAGCTTTTATCTGTCTATGATGTTCTCATTCTTCCATAAAATCACACCTCCGTAAAAAATAATATGCATATGGTGTTCTCATTAGTCATCTATACAACCACATCACTGCAGCTGTACCATTCTCTCATTCAACAGTTGACGAAAGAGTAAAGAAACACCCAAAACCAGAAAACAAAATTACCATGATGGTGTGCTCTGGATACCGTTTCCTGACATCTCTGACAAACTGAACGAAGTGCTCCGAGTATCCATTGGCAACATCAATACAGATGAACTTGATCTCAGGAACGGCCTCAAGGATGGCACTCAGCCGCTCCAGATCTCCTGCTCCGATGCCGGAACTGGCAGCTACATGCTGGCAATGACAACATAAAGGCAATTAGATAGTGGTCCTGTATGGGTTCTGGGTTGGTTCTTAATGGGTTCTGTGTTGGTCCTGTATGGGTTCTGGGTTGGTTCTGTATGGGTTCTGTGTTGGTCCTGTATGGATTCTGGGTTGGTTCTGTGTGGGTTCTGGGTTGGTCCTGTGTTGGTCTTGTATGGGTTCTGGGTGGGTTCTGTGTGGGTTCTGGGTTGGTCCTGAGTTGGTCCTGTATGGGTTCTGGGTGGGTTCTGTGTTGGTCCTGTATGGATTCTGGGTTGGTTCTGTGCTCTCACTTTGAGAAATGTAAAGAACCACTGCCCCTTTAACAAGCATTGTATTTTAAAAAATGTAGTTGCGCATCCTTTACAGGATGTTGCAGAACCAATCCCAGCATTATTTTGGCTGTGCAGTTATGGTTTTTCTAGACAAATTTACATTCAGTAGTTTGGCATTGCTTTCTGAACAGTCTTCTCTCAATACCACTATCAAAACAAATGGTAGGAGACACAACAAATGGTAGGAGACACAACGAATGGTAGGAGACACAACAAATGGTAGGAGACACAACAAATGGTAGGAGATACAACAAATGGTAGGAGATACAACGAATGGTAGGAGACACAACAAATGGTAGGAGACACAACAAATGGTAGGAGACACAACAAATGGTAGGAGACACAACAAATGGTAGGAGACACAACAAATGGTAGGAGACACAACAAATGGTAGGAGACACAACAAATGGTAGGAGACACAACAAATGGTAGGAGACACAACAAATGGTAGGAGACACAACAAATGGTAGGAGATACAACAAATGGTAGGAGACACAACAAATGGTAGGAGATACAACAAATGGTAGAAGATACAACAAATGGTAGGAGACACAACAAATGGTAGGAGACACAACAAATGGTAGGAGATACAACGAATAGTAGGAGACACAACAAATGGTAGGAGACACAACAAATGGTAGGAGATACAACAAATGGTAGGAGACACAACAAATGGTAGGAGATACAACAAATGGTAGGAGACACAACAAATGGTAGGAGATACAACAAATGGTAGGAGACACAACAAATGGTAGGAGACACAACAAATGGTAGGAGACACAACAAATGGTAGGAGACACAACAAATGGTAGGAGACACAACAAATGGTAGGAGACACAACGAATGGTAGGAGACACAACGAATGGTAGGAGACACAACAAATGGTAGGAGACACAACAAATGGTAGGAGACACAACAAATGGTAGGAGACACAACAAATGGTAGGAGACACAACAAATGGTAGGAGACACAACAAATGGTAGGAGACACAACAAATGGTAGGAGACACAACAAATGGTAGGAGACACAACGAATGGTAGGAGACACAACAAATGGTAGGAGACACAACGAATGGTAGGAGACACAACAAATGGTAGGAGATACAACGAATGGTAGGAGACACAATAAATGGTAGGAGATACAACAAATGGTAGGAGACACAACAAATGGTAGGAGATACAACGAATAGTAGGAGACACAACAAATGGTAGGAGATACAACAAATGGTAGGAGACACAACAAATGGTAGGAGATACAACGAATGGTAGGAGACACAACAAATGGTAGGAGATACAACAAATGGTAGGAGACACAACAAATGGTAGGAGATACAACAAATGGTAGGAGACACAACAAATGGTAGGAGACACAACAAATGGTAGGAGATACAACAAATGGTAGGAGGCACAACAAATGGTAGGAGGCACAACAAATGGTAGGAGATACAACAAATGGTAGGAGACACAACAAATGGTAGGAGACACAACAAATGGTAGGAGACACAACAAATGGTAGGAGACACAACAAATGGTAGGAGACACAACAAATGGTAGGAGATACAACAAATGGTAGGAGACACAACAAATGGTAGGAGACACAACAAATGGTAGGAGATACAACAAATGGTAGGAGGCACAACAAATGGTAGGAGACACAACAAATGGTAGGAGATACAACAAATGGTAGGAGACACAACAAATGGTAGGAGATACAACAGATGGACTGTTTTACCTCCAAAGTGACTTTATCAGCAGCAGCAAACTCCTTCCAGTCATCAACAGAATAATGCTTGTGGATGGTTGTGAACATCAGGTGCTGGAAAATGATTGAAAACTGAATGACACTACAACCCCTGCTGATCTGGCAGACTTCTGGTCAATATGGTGGACAGGTACTTAGTGTTTTTAGTTGAAAGGTTAAAATTAGTAACCACGGAAATGAGATGTCTGAGAAGGGCTGTAGGAGTGACCATAAGAGATAAGATCAGGAATGAGATCATAAGAGAAAAAGCCGGCACAGAACCAATTCTGGATTACATACGAAGACAGCAAGTGAAATGATTTGCCCACTTAGAGAGAATGCCTTGTAACACCATACCATACAAAGCATACATGGAAAGAGAAGAAGGACGTAGAGCACGAGGTAGACCAAGAACAAGATGGACGGATAACATCAGAGAAACTCTACAACAGCACGATATGCCTATGATTGAGGCGGCCAGAAGAGCTAGAACCTTATATCTCCCTCGACACCCACAGCGGTAAAAGAGGAAGTGAAGAAGAAGAAGAAGAAGTTGAAAGGTTTTATTTCTATCATCAGTTAGTCCTTGAACGAACGAACAAACTTTATTTTCAAAGGGTCACAAATTGGGCACGCAGGCCTGTCTTAGCACCCATCTTTTACACAGCAGTTGTATTTTATCAAAAAAGCAGTTATGTTCATATAAAAATATGCACATCATGAATATCAAGAGAGAAGAAAATATATCTAGGATCTATCACATCTACACCGATAGGATTTAATTATGTCGCCCAGTTACCGGGCTGAGTGCATGACATGACACTGTGAGCAGACGATTTAATTTGGAATGCTTTTTGACTGTGTTCAACGTAGTTTGTGTTGTGAACTGCAGATTCAGAAAATGGCGAGAGGCTGTCACCAGAGAACTAGTGTAACTTATGGCATTAATTGCCTGCGACTACTTGTTGCAACTGCATTTCCAGTGTCCGACTGTTTGTGTTGTACTTCTGAAGGCTACCTTATGCATTAAATGCTTGTGTAGGTTATTGGCCTTGTTGAGACTCCAGTGTGTGTCAGTTTTTTCACAAGGGGCACAAATGGTCATTATGTATGGTTTATGTGACCCATTTACTATGAAGTTGGAACTCTGAATATCTGAAAACAGCTCACGTAAAACAGACTGGTACATTCAACAATGTTTTATTGTCTTTCTTCTGTATCCCCCACCAAGACCACAGCCGGAAAGTTTGATAAAAACAGAATGGTACAGTCAACAATGTTTTATTATCTTTCTTCTGTATGGATCTCCAAAACAACCTGTTTCTCATCTTAGTACACTTTTACAGACTGTTGTTCATCCGTCTCTTGATGTGGTCCTTCCACTTGTATCGTTATCTGCCTCTTGCTCTCTTGATGTTGACTTTTCCTTCCAGTATGATTTTTAAAGGAGTGACGTCTTTTCATGTGTGGAAGAAATATTTTAATTGTATCTTAGTTATTTATTTCCTTAACTATCTTCTCATTTGTAGTCTCCCCAGAACCTCTCTATCTGATTGCATTGTTTCCTTGAAATACAACCTATTCTGTATATTCAAATTTCCCCATTTGTAGACAGAAAGGATATTGTTTTGTTATCCAGCTATTAAGTTAAGTGCATGGTGCGTCACTGAGAGCTGCCGATTTCATTTGGAATGCTTTTTGACTGTGCTCAATGTAGTTTGTGTTGTGAACTGCAAATTAAGAAAATGGCGAGAGGCTGTCGCCAGAAAACTAGTGGTACCTTGACTTTACAAAGAAGTGATAATAGTTGGTTGTGTATCCTTTAATAGCTGCTGGGACCGAACCCGGCACCCCGGCATTAGGAAGCTTGTTCGCAACGCCTAAGCCACAGACGCCATGATGATGCATGAATGGTGTAGTCTGTTCTACATCTGAAAACTGTATATCTTACATCTTACACATACAGAGAAAACGGCATAAAGCAGAGAGATACAAACAACACACAAAAGAGTTCAATGGGAGTAGACCCCAAGGCAGACCAAGATGGCAGTGGAGAGAGAGAGAGAATATAAATAAGAGATACCTTTGCCATTTGTTTCGCCATTTGAAATGTCCCCACAGTGTCCATATTTGCTGCAATGACAGGGATTCCAGTGTATGTTTTCTGTGAGTTGCGAAAGATGAATGAGCGCAGAAGATCAACCTGAAATTTTGAATTCATAAATTCATACTGTAATCATAAATACAGATGTGAGTCGTGGACTATCTCTGAGTCCTTAAGAAAGAGAATAGGGGCTTTTGAGCTGAAATGCTATAGAAAGATTCTCAGAATATCTTGGACAAAGAGCAGGAGAAATATTGACATCTCTTAAAAGATCTGAACATCAAGGAAGATTGGCTAATAAACAGCATCCTTTCTCGGAAGCTGAAATATTTTGATCATATCAAGCGCCACAACGGATTGGAAAAAATTATAGCAGAAGGCATGGTACCAGGAAGGAGGGGCAGGGGCCGACCGGCACGAAGATGGGCACAGGATATAAGTGACTCCTTGAGTATGAAAGTATATGAGGCAGGAGAACTGGCGAGAGACCGAGTTTCTTTCAGGCAGACTGTGATGAGAGCGACGTTCTGCAAAGGACCTGCTACATGATGATGAATCATAAATATCTAGAGGATTTTTATTTAATTGTCTATAAAATATTAATGACTCACATCATCAGAATGTAACATAAATTTACATAGGTTATAAGACAGATCTTTGGACCCATCAAAGATGCAAACAGAGGGGAATGGAGAGTGAGAAGCAACAACGAAATTCATAATCTGTTTAAATCACCTCTAATCACTGGCATCATGAGAGCTAATAGACTGAAATGGTTGGGGCATACTGAAAGAATGTCAGATGACAGAGAGAAGTGAAAACTGTATACACAAGGGAGATGAATGGTTATAGACCACGAGGCAAACCAAAAATACGATGGAGAGATAATGTCCAGACAGACTGCAAACAATTGGTGTCACCAACTGGAAAGAGAAGGCCAACCAGAGAGATGAATAGAGGTGGGTGATATTTGCAGCAATGAACCTCACGGGTAGTAGTACATTTTACCCTACCAGGACATCACACAAGCGATAAACACCCGATGACACAAAGTGCCACCATGCGGATGAGGATCAGCCGTGGAGAGGTCCCGGGAACCGTGTTCAGCCATTAGACCATATTTATGGCCAGGCTATATTGCAGCCCCTGGCAATTGCCAGGGTGGGGCTTCAGAATAACGAAAAATTGCCACCCACAAGGGGATGGCTAGGATATAATATGCAACTCTGAATGCTGAAGAAGAATATAAAACAGATGATTGGCTGAGAATGACCTTGTAGACTGAGTTTTTAAATTTCAACTGTTTATTTTACAAATGTTCTTTTTTCTGTATTATGTCTCTTGTCATAACCTCCCACTCTTCCTACCTCTCCCATCTTGTCATAACCTCCCACTCATCCTACCTCTCCCATCTTGTCATAACCTCCCACTCTTCCTACCTCCCTCCATCTTGTCATAACCTCCCCCCATCTTGTCATAACCACCCACTCTTCCTACCTCTCCCATCTTGTCATAACCTCCCACTCTTCCTACCTCATCTTGTCATAACCTCCCACTCTTCCTACCACCCTCCATCTTGCCATAACCTCCCACTCTTCCTACCTCCCTCCATCTTGTCATAATCTCCCACTCTTCCTACCTCTCCCATCTTGTCATAACCTCCCACTCGTCCTACCTCCCCCATCTTGTCATAACCTCCCACTCTTCCTATCTCTCCCATCTTGTCATAACCTCCCACTCTTCCTACCTCTTCCATCTTGTCATAACCTCCCACTCTTCCTACCTCTCCCATCTTGTCATAACCTCCTACTCTTCCTACCTCCCCCATCCCCCCATCTTCCTACCTCTCCCACTCTTCCTACCTCTCCCATCTTGTCATAACCTCCCACTCTTCCTACCTCTCCCATCTTGTCATAACCTCCCACTCTTCCTACCTCTCCCATCTTGTCATAACCTCCCACTCTTCCTACCTCTCCCATCTTGTCATAACCTCCCACTCTTCCTACCTCTCCCATCTTGTCATAACCTCCCACTCTTCCTACCTCTCCCATCTTGTCATAACCTCCCACTCTTCCTACCTCTCCCATCTCATAACCTCCCACTCTTCCTACCTCTCCCATCTTATCATAACCTCCCACTCCTCCTCTCCCATCTTGTCATAACCTCCCACTATTCCTACCTCTCCCATCTTGTCATAACCTCCCACTCTTCCTACCTCTCCCATCTTGTCATAACCTCCCACTCTTCCTACCTCTCCCATCTTGTCATAACCTCCTACTCTTCCTACCTCTCCCATCTTGTCATAACCTCCCACTCTTCCTACCTCTCCCCATCTTGTCATAACCTCCCACTCTTCCTACCTCTCCCATCTTTGTCATATAACCTCTTCCACTCTTCTTGTCTACCTCTCCCCCCCTCTTCTTGTCATAACTCTTCCTACCTCTTCCATACCTCCCACTCTTCCCTACCTCCCATCTTGTCATAACCTCCATAACCTCCCACTCTTCCTACCTCCCCCCATCTTGTCATAACCTCCCACTCTTCCTACCTCTCCCATCTTGTCATAACCTCCCACTCTTCCTACCTCTCCCATCTTGTCATAACCTCCCACTCTTCCTACCTCTCCCATCTTGTCATAACCTCCCACTCTTCCTACCTCTCCCATCTTGTCATAACCTCCCACTCTTCCTACCTCTCCCATCTTGTCATAACCTCCCACTCTTCCTACCTTCCAAAGAGATGCTAGTTATACTGTTCTCAGGTTTTCTCAGTGTGCTACCTATCCCACACCAGCATCTTTTCTTCACCAATTGGTGCCCTGGAACTTGTTTAGTTCTCTCCTAAAGCTCAGTATTAGGGATTCTATCATGCCATTTAATTTCCTCTATTCTGCGCAGGCAACAGTTAATGAATGTTTGTAATTTATTGGTAACTGTTTTAGTTGTTCTTCATGTTTCCGCTCCATACAACAGTACTGATTTGACATTAGAATTACAAATTGTAAGTTTAGCACTAGCTGAATTTTTTTTCCCCCTCCACAAATGTTGTAGTGCTATGAAAGCAAATCTTCCATTGCGTACTGATATTCTAATACCCCTATCAGTTCCTCAGTCTTTATCTACCACGACTGTGATATTGTGAAATGACTGGTTTTACTTCTTGCTTGGATCAATATTTTCTTTCCACAGCTTTTTTACTGTCAAGTTTAATTCATCTGGCATCACAGGGTGCATGAGCGCTGCAAAGCACTTCCATCGATCACAGAGGAGTTAGTTTAAAGAATTGTCTTCTGATACAGTACTTAAGTACCCTCTCCATGGACAGTGCTGGAAAGTTCTTCTGGCATTTTTGTCTCCGAGGTCAGAATCTAGAGGACAGTGCAAGACATACTGAAACTTCATATCTGGGAAGTGGCACAGGTCATGAATTAGCAAAAGTGCATGGCTGAGAATAGGTCTAGTTTTGTAAAGTTCCTCCACTGTTTTGGGTAATTCACAGATTTGACTCCAGTGCCCAGATACAAAAAGAATACATCATGAATTGTTATAATTCTTAACATCTTATGAGTTTAGTTTATCTCACTCAAAAAACATTTTAATATGTCTGCATAACTCCTTAAAATACTTAGTTTAGGATGGAAATAAATACAACATCTTTGAAGTCCAGTTTAATATCATTATCATTATGAGGTATTGCTGCATTAAAATATCTACCCTAATCATAATATGTGAACTGCACAATTATACAATAGTATACTCAATACTCCAGAAAACTGTTGGGGGCATAATCTTGTTAACCTTGAACCTGACAATCTTTTGACAGTAGCGTGTATTAAAAAAAAGTTATACCTGTACCTCATTATATACATTCCAGTAAAAAAAAAAATCAAGAGCTCATGGTGAATTTTTGCTAAACTAAACAACTAGATTAAGATTCCAGTGATTACATCCCTGCTGGGACCAAGTGTATTGCACAGTGTTCAAAAGCAAATTTGCGTTAATGAGGTTTTAGTGTAAATAACTGTTGTAGTTCACAGTTAAATGAATTCCGTCCCAATGCCCAGAAATAATATAAATATGTAGTAACTAGGGTAAATATCTCCCTAATCATCATATCAAGTGTATCAGTATCATTCAAGGGTTCTTGTGTCATCTCAGTCATTCAGTGGAGTGACAACATAAAAATCAAAATTTCTTACATCTGCACGACTCCTCAAAGTACTTCGCTTAGGACGGAATAAAACATCTTTAAGTCCAATTTAACATCGTTATCAATATGAGGCATTGCTGTAATTTCAGGTGAATTTCTTTCCAATCAGAAGAGGAATTACACAATACACTGGGGTCAATCTTGTCGACCAAGAGCCAGACTTGTCAGCTCTCGTTTGTTATTGGAACAGCTTTAGATATGTAATATTCCTGGGTTTCCATCATTGAAGAGGGCAGCGTTTCAAACCAATGAGAGAAGAGAAGCTTAGCAAATCCACGGTTATGATGTTTGAACATGGAAACCTCCAGCAGACGGTTTTTGCTTGCTGTAGTTTTGGGTATGTTCCCTATTATTTACTGAGTAACCGACTTCATTATATGTTGGTCGTTTTCATAGAGTTTGATATGGCGAATATTTAATACAGAATGTTCTATATGATTTGAAATAATAATAGACGTTTATCAAGCCTTAAACAGTTATTTGTAACCAAGCAGAGAGAGACCTCATTGACCAACCCATAGAATTAGAATAGTTATTGTCGCAGAGCTGGACACATTCTAATAAACACTACCTCCTTATTTTTAGCAACCAGGACATAGTTTCAGTATTAATGTTGCAAGCTACAGTCTGGCTGTATGAATGCAGGCATTAATTTCCGAACGAAGAATTAAATGGAATTTAATTAATGGAGATGGCCTAGATACTTTAGTCAAATTTCCAAAATGCTCTACACCAATAAAACCAGCACAGTTAGATAGCTGTAAACAATCTCTTTCTAATGGTACCTCATTTAGGCTTGTATGTCATTTCTGAGCTGAGATATGTAGGTTTTTGTGGAGATGAGATGTAAAAAACAGCTGCTAAAACTTGTGTCTGAGAAACAAGAAGTTTTCTCTGCGCAACCAAACTGCGCAACTTTCGTTTTGGCTTTGTTTTCATTGGACAAGATGGGAGACAATTTTTCTCAGACACAGCCACATATTAGCGATTGCCTGAAAAATGGTCACTGTACATTAAACCAGCCACAGATAAGAAAGAAATTGTATACACAAATGTAAAATTGGACGGAGAATTCAATTATAACTAGCATTACCATGTCTGGTAATGTTTAAAGCCTAAAGCCAACTTTGAACACTTATCGCTATTTTCACTTAAACTGATGTAACACAAAAACAGAGGAAGTCCGGCTGTCGTAGACATGCGCTGTTAATCTGGTTTTTTCCCGCCGTTTTCAGCTTTTTATAGTGGGTGAAAATCACACCAATCGCAAAATTTCATGAGAGATTAGGACCCATCCCGAAACCCCAGCCGACATTTGCGAAGCAAGTTTTGAACGGTTTCCATGGTAACGGAAATTGCCAGAAGACCGCCAATTGCCGAACACCGTAGTCGCTAGAGATGCATCATCACTTCGGAAGATTAAAATACCGCAACCCTAGGGTTGAGTCAAGCTGAATTAGGAAACCAGTGTCACGCCTTTATGTATATGGCAAGACCCTCACACCCCCTTGAGTATATGGCAAGATCCCCACACCCCTTGAGTATATGGCAAGACCACCACACCCCCCTTGAATATATGGCAAGACGACCCCCCCCCCCCCCCCCCCTGAGTATATGGCAAGACCCCCACACCCTCTTGATTATATGGCAAGACCCCCAAGCCCCCTTTGAGTTTATGGCAAGACCTCCATACCCCCCTTGAATATATGGCAAGACGACCCCCCCCCCCCCTCTTGTGTATATGGCAAGACCTCCACACCCTCTTGTGTATATGGCAAGACCTCCAAGCCCCCTTTGAGTTTATGGCAAGACCTCCATGCCCCCTTGAGTATATGGCAAGACCCCACATCTCCTTGAGTAATTGGCAAGATTACCCCCCCCCCCCCCCCCCCCCCCCCCCCCCCCCCCCCCTGAGTATATGGCAAGACCTCCATGCCCCTCTTGAGTATATGGTGAAACCCCCACACCCCCGTTGAGTAAATGGCAGGACCCCCACACCCCACTTGAGTATATGGCAAGACACCCCACCCCGCATAACAAAATGTGATTTAAAAGAAGAGGACAATAGATTCCTTAACAAGGAAAATAGAAAGCATGGAAATACATTTTGGTCAGAATGTGTTCTTAATTTATAATTAAATGTGCATGTTATCATATTAATTTGATTTTTACGGTAGATGTACAGACTGCTCATGTAAACAAAAATATCATTTTTAATAAAAAGTTTACAAAATATTTCATTTATAAGTAAACTACAAATGTACTCACTTTCAAAATTGCTTGATCCTATACCTTGAAACCTCTGTTCCCTCCCCCCCTCCCATCCCGTTGGAGACCACTTTTCTAATGGCTTCATCCTGCATGTGTTCAAGTTTTATCAGCTGACTGATGTGGTGAACATTCCAAATCCTGTCTAACACTGAGATGTTCAAGTGCTGATACCTTGCAAACAACATTCTTTGCTCCGTGTTCATTGTTACCATAATTTTGAGTGCATTGAGTCATTTTTGGCATTTTGCTACAACTGTCGTCATATTGTTCGTGAACGACAGGCTTCTGTCGAAAGTGATACCTAAGTTTTGCTGTCTGTTTTTATGTTTCTGTCATTATCTGTGACGTTTAGGACATCAGCTGTAACAATCCTTTTGTCCAGAAAGCATGATAAAACAGCTGCTTTTTCTGCACTCATCACTGCAAATCGGTCTGTCACTTAGTCTACAGTTGCCTGTAGCTCTTGGGCTGTCTGTTGCCTTACTCCCCTGACTGTTTGCAAATGATTACAGTACCATGATGGTGCAGAACCTCTTAGTGGTGGTGCTGAACCTCTTAGTGGTGGTGCTGAACCTCTTAGTGGTGGTGCTGAACCTCTTAGTGGTGGTGCTGAACCTCTTAGTGGTGGTGCAGAACCTCTTAGTGGTGGTGCTGAACCTCTTAGTGGTGGTGTTGAACCTCTTAGTGGTGGTGCTGAACCTCTTAGTGATGGTGCTGAACCTCTAAGTGGTGGTGCTGAACCTCTTAGTGGTGGTGCTGAACCTCTAAGTGGTGGTGCTGAACCTCTTAGTGGTGGTGCTGAACCTCTTAGTGGTGGTGCTGAACCTCTTAGTGGTGGGGCTGAACCTCTTAGTGGTGGTGCTGAACCTCTTAGTGGTGGTGCTGAACCTCTTAGTGGTGGTGCTGAACCTCTTAGTGGTGGTGCTGAACCTCTTAGTGGTGGTGCTGAATCTCTTAGTGGTGGTGCTGAACCTCTTAGTGGTGGTGCTGAACCTCTTAGTGGTGGTACTGAACCTCTTAGTGGTGGTACTGAACCTCTTAGTGGTGGTGCTGAACCTCTTAGTGGTGGTGCTGAACCTCTTAGTAGTGGTGCTGAACCCACCATGATGATCCTGAACCACATGTGATGATACACCAGACCAGGGCTTATCCTGGTCAGGACCTGTCTAGACATTACTGTGGTCATCTTAGAAAACAGATTCCTTATTGGGGCCTGCCCATCACAGGCTAGGATCACATTTTCCTGTGGAGATGGAGCACATCTGCCTGAGAGAGGAGGAACTAACCTCATATAGATAAGCCTGATCTGAAAAACATATATACATGCAACACTCAAGTCCTGGAAAAGGCCAAAGTCTAAAAGTAAATGAACAACTAGTACTTTCTGCCAGAGTTTACACCTGATGAATGCTAAGACAAAGAATGAGATAACCCTTCCAATTGTGTTCTTAACTGGTTTAACATCTTAAGAAAAATAATAACAACAGACATTTATTTAATCAGAAGGATAGGGTTTTCGTTACAGTTTTGTAAAATTGTGTAAAATATAGTGATGTGCCATCTCCACTGTGAAGGTTGGCCACAGTATACCACTGCTGTCATGTGGATATTTTGTAATGAGGCCCACATTTTTTTTTTCAGTGGCACAACTGTCCAAAAGCTACCAGTTTTGTTCAGTGGCACAACTCTGGTACAACTGTCCAAAAGCTACCAGTATTGTTCAGCAAACCTTCCACCCTGGGAATTGAATCCAAGTGCTCGAGCATCATGGCATTATAAAACTAATTGTTCCCTTACCTCTGAGCTATCGAAAATAGTTTTGTAAAGATCAGAATGCTTGAAAGTGATGTTTAGGTTTTCTTCTTTTTCTTTGCATTCACTGTCTGTAAACTATGGCAGAAAGTTCTGATTGTTCATCCACCGCTGGAGTGTAGTCTTGTTCCAGCACCTGAATATTGCGTGCACATCTGTTATACAGATCTAGCTTATTTATATGCAGACTGTTGGTTCCTTGCCTCTTCGGTAGATGCACTCCGACTGTCAAGGAGTGTTGAGGTTCAATTACAGGGAACATGGGATGTATGGCTGCACCTTTTAACAGTACATTTTTTTTTTCAAATTGTTTTTTTTAATTGTGATTTTTTTTTTCTCCACTAGGACTTCTTGCAGTATGCAGATCCCAGCTGGAACTTGATAACAAGTAGGCATACAATTAGAAAGTTTTTTATAGATATTTAGTGTCTGTTGCCCGTCCACTTTTGGAGTCTAGTCTTGTTCTAGTACTTGAGCTTTGTGTGCACATGGATTTTACAGAGTTGGCTTATTTATATGCAGACTGTTGGTCCTTGCCTCTAAAGCAGGTGCACTCTGACTTCAAAGGAAACACCAATCATCAGCTGACTCTCGCAACAGGCCTGTTAGGGGCTATTGAGGCTATTCTTTTTCCTCCGAACAGGGAGTGCTGCTTATGTATATAAGTAAAAATGTTAACACAAACTCGTTTGAAGAAGAACACTCGGTTAACATAAACACAGTTTTTGTCCCAGCCGGGAAATATCATTATTAGTTCCTGATGAGCAGAATTTCAAACTCTGGATTTTTTGTTCTCTAGGAAATTGTGCTAATGAGGTTGTGGATTTGATTGTGCACTCTGCCCTTTGGATGGTGCAAGTGTAGTGGGGATTCCTTGGGGGTTCATTGCTGGAGCTACAGTCTGCTTAGTGTTCTGTGCTCTACATAGAGGGAAAGAGCTACATAGAGGGAAAGAGCTACATGAGAGACACCACACAGTGAAGCCAGCCTTCTTGCCTGTAATTCTTTCTGTACCCAACAACTCATCCGTACAAAATGTATTGGGTGACACATGTCGCGACCACATCACCTCAATCACTGAGACTTATGGGCACAATTTGGCATCAACTAAGCTTTTAAAAAAAGCCACTGAGGTCATAAGATCCCCCCCCCCCCCCCCCCCGCCCTCACCTTTTTTCCCTTTTTTTTTTCACTATGGTATTTTTAGTTACTTCATTCGTATACTGGCCTGCTTAATATTGTGCAGAACTAAATTGAATATAACTAGGTGGCTTTCTTTGAAGTCAGTGAGTATCTGTCTGACATTCTGCATACAGGTTAGTAAAGTCTGTAAAACGGATGTGCACGCAACACTCAGGTCCAAAGGTGGACAACCAGCTAGAACTTTCCACCGGACTTTACAGCCGGTTAATGTGAAGAAGAAGAATTCATCTTCTCCTGTGGGATCTTCTTTTTTAACAAGAATATCATAAAAGATGACTAAAGGTTTACTTGCAATAGGATGTCTTGGTTCTAAGGGCACAGATATGACTGGATATCTATAAATGACAGCACCATAATCCAACCATTTTTGAAGGGGTAAATGCAGAAGAAGAGGATGAAGAAATGGAAAAAGAAGAAGGAGAATGATATTTCAGTTTAGCTTCTTCTTCTCTTCCACCTTGTACCTCATCGAAGTGTCGGGAGTATAAAGGAAGTAATAAGTAAACAAGAAAGGAGGAAAGAATTAAATGGAATACATTCTCCTGGGCCTAAATAATGTGACTTGGGTGACTCGTGCCATGACCTTGTAACCCACATTCCTGAGGCCAACAGTAACATTTTCAAGTCAGCCTGAATTTAAACTTTGACGTGCTGATACCCCTACATGCCATTATTTAAAAAAAAGTTAAGAACATGTGCTGTTACCCCTCCATGCCATTAAAAATAATTCACACAGAAACCCCTCTAAATACTGTGTTTAGTTAATGTATTCATATGCGGGCCTCCTTAACACTACGCAGGCGCATATAGAACCTGTGGCATTTAACTATGCTTTTTAAGAACAAGTCACTGCATCAATCTTGATCTTACAGCTCTTACGGGACCATGTCACAGCTAGAAGTGAGTAGATTTAGCCTTCTCAGGGTGATAGGGCTAAATCAACTCAGCTGAGCTACCTATTGTAAGAAGTAAGTGACTGTAAGCAGTTATACTGTGTATTTAAGAATCATATTGTACATCTTTTTCAGATTCCTGGAGTTGAGGAACCAGGGCTTGTGGTTGGTGGAGGTAAGGCTGATAACTCTCTGCTCTTTTCTGTCTCCCCTATACTAACTCTCAACTCTGTAAGCCTTTAACAGTGGGCCATGTTTGATCAGCAATTATCAGTGTCATCATTAAGTGCCTTGCCAGATATTGAGGTTTGAACAACAGATCAACATCATGGCACACGGGTAGTAACCAATAAGTGCTTCTTCTTTTAGCTTAAGTCTGAGTCCAAAGAAGCTCAACATAGTGCACAAGCTCTGTAGCACCAGCGAGGATCCTGACATACTTTGGGTAGATTTTTAACTCCAAATTTTTTTCCTGGCAGCGCCATAAGGCTAGCTACTCTTTTCGATTTCCAACTGCCAAGGGATTTTTTATGTGCGCAATAATGCACACGGGCGTCTGATCTTACTACCCAGAATTACTAGAAGTCCGTCCACGTGAAAAAACCAATTGAACCCGGCACCTCTAGCACTCGAGGGGGATACCATGCCTCGCGACCACGCAGCCCTCACTGCTAAATATTAAATGTTGAATTGAGAATCAACATTACAGTACTCAGGACATACCTGCAAGCGCTCCCTCTCCCATCCGCTTGCTGCTGAAAATGGGATCTGATCATAAATGGGAATGTACCAAGTGCTGTGATGTCGATTCTTAAACATGTTCATGCAAGTGTATGGTGTGAAAACATTGTGAGCGCTATGTGCAGTCTGTCAGAAGACATTGCACGCTTTACCAGGTGTCTAGGGGATTTGTTTATGCTTAGCTGATACATACAAAAAGTTCTCTAATCGACAACATACTGCAAACACTAGAATCACAAGGTCAACTCCAGACACTAAAAGTCGTCTCTGTAGTAGTGCACCAGTCTCTTTATTATGGACGAAACACGTTTTCGATGGAGATGAGTGGTGATTGATGGCACACTGACAAGTCTTCTACTGCCTTCATAAATTTTCACATTGGCGATTCTAATAGACATTGACAAAACACCCCAGTGAACTATATCCCAGGTGCCTGCTATGGGCAGCTCACACCTGACCATGCAGATAGTGACAAAAAAGGGCCTCGTCACCAAAGACTCAAGATAGATGCACCTCTTGGTGAAAAACTCCAGGCCTCCCGCCTGCTATCCCAGTCACTCACCGAAGTATCGCTGACTGACCATCCCGCCTGCTATCCCAGTCACTCACAGAAGTATCACTGACTAACCATCCCGCCTGCTATCCCAGTCACTCACCGAAGTATCGCTGACTGACCATCCCGCCTGCTATCCCAGTCACTCACGGAAGTATCGCTGACTGACCATCCCGCCTGCTATCCCAGTCACTCACCAAAGTATTGCTGACTGACCATCCCGCCTGCTATCCCAGTCACTCACGGAAGTATCACTGACTAACCATCCCGCCTGCTATCCCAGTCACTCACGGAAGTATCGCTGACTGACCATCCCGCTTGCTATCCCAGTCACTCACGGAAGTATCGCTGACTGACCATCCCGCTTGCTATCCTAGTCACTCACGGAAGTATCGCTGACTGACCATCCCGCTTGCTATCCCAGTCACTCACGGAAATATCGCTGACTGACCATCCCGCTTGCTATCCCAGTCACTCACGGAAGTATCGCTGACTGACCATCCCGCTTTCTATCCCAGTCACTCACGGAAGTATCGCTGACTGACCATCTCGTCAATCAGCCTCCGATACTTTCCCCCCATCACAACTACACGTTGGTTACCCAAAGGTTCCCCGGAACCTTTCGTGCCCTTTCAGAAACCCATCAACCACGTGCCCCATAGCGGCAACACTGTTGGCCCCACAACACATGGGCCAACACAAGTCCATTCTACACATTTTACAGAATTCCCAAAAGTCCAACTCCCGATCCACCAAAACATTAAACAGTTCGCATGAGCTCCAACAGAATAAGACACCTTGTTAAAACACACCAGACTGGAACAACTGATGCACAAACACGCCCGCAAACTAAGACTGACTTAAAGGCACTGACTGGATACGGGTTATCCTTCAGCGGCTGGTCACGCTTGAGTCTTGCAGTACCCGTGGAGACCACTGTTAGCCGTTAATTTCAAGAAACCTCTGTCTCACACATAAAGCAGCGTGGACATTTTGCACTCATCTCTGTCATCATCATCATCATCTAGCGCCTTTACGACTGACTTAGGCGGACACGCCTGTGACCTCTGGTACACTTGAATTGCAAAATGAGTTCAGCACACATTAATGGGTATGATGATATTGAAAGAAAAGTTGAAGATATTATTTGGGGTAAAAAAAATATATTATTCTATCATCTTTTTCTTCTTTTGTTATCTCACCATTATCAGGTTGTAGCCCAGTGTCGTGGTTTTCTGTATTTGTCTGGCTGTTTTCGGGTGGCTTGGGTGATTGATTTGTTCATCTTTTTTGCAGGTTTCTGCTACATCATTTATCCATCTGTTTCTTAGTCTTGCTCTCCCCTTCCTCCCCTTTCTGCTGTAAAAAGTCTCATATGCAGTTTTTGTCTGGCTGCATTCTCACTAGAAGGCTGTTATCTTGATGTCATAATTAGGATGATGCTTCTTTGCTCTCCAAGCTGTGACAACAAAATTCTTCTTCAAAAGGAAAGCAAACATTTTGTGTGTGCTCAATTTGTATTCAGTGATTACTTGTTTCTTATACTCGAATGCAGATTGGTCTATTTGCCCAATACACCATCGGAATGAAAAAAAAGCCCAGTAATTTAGAAAACTGACTAGTTGTAACACACAAACTTGACTTGTGTTTGAATTACTGGACTTTATAAATTAAAATTTTTTTTTTCAAAATTAGTTTTCCCATCCAGGATTGCCGCCTGTATAACCTTTCAGGGGTGAGAATCGGACAGGTACAAATCCCAGAGACCTTGTTCAATCATATAGCCATGTAGCACAGTTATAGTGGGGCACCACAAAGTGGTTGTGAAGTAACCTGAATGTCCAGTGTGTGGGAAACATACTGTACAAATTTATTGATGTTTGTTGTGCTGTCATTGCTTTCTGGAATATTGGTACTGAAGGAGGTAATACAAAAAGAATTTGTTGACTACAACAAGGTCATCCTCATGTGTCATGCCGCTATGCCTAGGCTGTGGTGGTTCACCATCTCATGTGTCATGCCGCTATGCCTAGGCAGTCGTGGTTCACCATCTCATGTGTCATGCCGCTATGCCTAGGCAGTCGTGGTTCACCATCTCATGTGTCATGCCGCTATGCCTAGGCAGTCGTGGTTCACCATCTCATGTGTCATGCCGCTATGCCTAGGCAGTCGTGGTTCACCATCTCATGTGTCATGCCGCTATGCCTAGGCAGTCGTGGTTCACCATCTCATGTATCATGCCGCTATGCCTAGGCAGTCGTGGTTCACCATCTCATGTGTCATGCCGCTATGCCTAGGCAGTCGTGGTTCACCATCTCATGTGTCATGCCGCTTTGCCTAGGCAGTCGTGGTTCGCCATCTCAGGTGATCATCAGAGCTCTGTTATCTGGTTCTGTCCCTACCCTCATGTGTCATGCCGCTATGCCTAGGCAGTCGTGGTTCGCCATCTCAGGTGTCATGCCGCTATGCCTAGGCAGTCGTGGTTCACCATCTTAGGTGATCATCAGAGCTCTGTTATCTGGTTCTGTCCCTACCCTCATGTTGTATCATCATCCAGTTGCCCAGGGGTCAGGAGAGTTTGAGAGGTCACTGTGAGATTTACAGTTGCACAGGCTAAAACGTTTGGTCTAGTTTCCAGCATGATGAGTGACTACCTGGCTGAGTGGTTGAGAGTGCTGGACTCTAATGCTTGAGTTTGAATCCATGGTAAGGTTGTGGATTATTTCTATTGGGGCAAAAATAAAATCTTAACTTGCAGAGTTCGTGGCTATAGCACTAGCCATGCGGTCCTAAATCCCCAGCCTCAAAGATCCCTCCTGCCTACACCACTCAAGTGGTAAATACAATACATTACAAAAAAGTCAGATTTATAATCAGGGAATCAAGAGAAGCTTTGGCAAGCAAACACTCCCTGCCTTGAATTTCCTTCATGCATTCTGCACCCTGACTCTGGGCAGCAGTGAGCAAACAATTCAGTGAGCAGCCAGTCTTTCACTGTGTATAGTCTCCGCCATCTTCCCAAGCATAGGAATATCTGAATGCCTACAATACAAAGGCTGTTTGCAGTGGCAAGCTTTTATCAGCAAGCAGTGACAGGGATATAAAGCTACATGGATAAGGAAAGACAGTTATGACTATGTTTTTGTTTTGTTTCTTGTTGCTGATGATGGTTGGTTTTTTAAATTGTAATGAATCCTATAAATCTGAAGTACCTGAATGGCTTAGCTGTATATATGTGGTGAGACAGGAGCACTGACCTGATCCATGATTCTGTTGACCATGTGAGATGGTGAAACATGACAGCCTGCACTTATCGGCACAGCACATGATGATGGCGACGATGATGATGATGATGATCTTCTTGTCTTCTTAATGTTAAGTAAACTCCAGCCGAAGGTTCTGGTTATTTGTCCACTTCTGGTCTTTATTCTTGTTCCTGAACTTGAGTTTTGTGTGCACATCTGTTTTACAGATTAGCTTTTTTTTAATGCAGACTGTTTTTCCTCAGTCTCAGACAGATGCACTCACTTCAAAGAAACCCATCCCTAATTAGTCGGGTTTTGACTGCATGCTTGTTAGAGGGCCTAGGTCTATTCTATGTGTCTATAATTGTGTTAAAATGCTGAGTGGTTTCTGTCACAGTTCTATGCCCCATGGTGTGGCTACTGCAAGAAGCTGGAACCGGTGTACAAGGAAGTAGCTACAGTGCTACAGCAACTTCAGAGTCCTGTCCAAGTAGCCAAACTGGACTGTACAAAGTATTCTCAAGTAGCCAATGAATTCTCCATCAGAGGATTTCCAACAATCATGTTGTGAGTAGACATTTGATTGAATAGGTTTGTTGTGTTGTTCAGGTTGGTTGTCTTTCTCTCTCTCTCTTTTTTTTTCTCTCTCTCTACATTCTTGTCTCATTATTTTTTTAACTGACTCAATCCAAGCTGTTCTTCCTTTGCCTCCATGTCTTCCCAATGTTATTAATATCTCTCTCTCTCTCTCTCTCTCTCTCTCTCTCTCTCTCTCTCTCTCTCTCTCTCTCTCTCTCTCTCTCTCTCTCTCTCTCTCTCATTTTTTGTGTTGGGGGCTTCTGTTGCGAAGTGGTCAGACCTCACCTTGCAGTCTGAAGGTCTTAGGTTTGCTGGACGCATGACATTTTTACAAAGATTCCTGGGAATCATCACAGGAGCTACGGAGTTTGTGCTTTTATGGCTCTCATCAGGTGGCTAGCCATCGGACTGAGCCATATAGCATAAAACCCAGTGCAGTGAAGTTGGCCCTCTCACCTTTAACCTTTGTATCATAGTTTCTCAGTTGAGTTAGGTTTTTCTTTAGTTTTTCTCAGTGTTATTCATCTGTTCTTGAATGGGCTCCTGTTGCCTCACTGTGGAGGACAGAAGTATTCATCTGTCCTTGAATGGGCTCCTGTTGCCTCACTGTTGAGGACAGAAGTATTCATCTGTCCTTGAATGGGTTCCTGTAGCCTCACTGTTGAGGACAGAAGTATTCATCTGTCTTTGAACTGGTTCCTGTAGCCTCACTGTTGAGGACAGAAGTATTCATCTGTCCTTGAATGGGCTCCTGTTGCCTCACTGTTGAGGACAGAAGTATTCATCTGTCTTTGAACTGGTTCCTGTAGCCTCACTGTGGAGGACAGAAGTATTCATCTGTCCTTGAATGGGTTCCTGTAGCCTCACTGTGGAGGACAGAAGTATTCATCTGTCTTTGAACTGGTTCCTGTAGCCTCACTGTTGAGGACAGAAGTATTCATCTGTCTTTGAACTGGTTCCTGTAGCCTCACTGTGGAGGACAGAAGCATTCATCTGTCTTTGAACTGGTTCCTGTAGCCTCACTGTGGAGGACAGAAGTATTCATCTGTCCTTGAATGGGTTCCTTTAGCCTCACTGTGGAGGACAGAAGTATTCATCTGTCCTTGAATGGGTTCCTGTAGCCTCACTGTGGAGGACAGAAGTATTCATCTGTCTTTGAACTGGTTCCTGTAGCCTCACTGTGGAGGACAGAAGCATTCATCTGTCTTTGAACTGGTTCCTGTAGCCTCACTGTGGAGGACAGAAGTATTCATCTGTCCTTGAATGGGTTCCTTTAGCCTCACTGTGGAGGACAGAAGTATTCATCTGTCCTTGAATGGGTTCCTGTAGCCTCACTGTGGAGGACAGAAGCATTCATCTGTCTTTGAACTGGTTCCTGTAGCCTCACTGTGAAGGACAGCAGAATACACCCACAGCCTCTAACAAGCAAGTCAAAAAACATGACTAGTTAGGGATTTGCTTACATCAAATGTGTTGGACCACAGGGTACAGAAATCCCAACCAAGCTGTAAACCACAGCACTGACTGCCATTTCCAGAGAAAACAAAGGAGGAAAGAAGAAGAAACAGTCTCTAATTCTCACCTTTATGTGTCTTTAGGTATCCTTCTTTGTCTTTTGCCCTGTGGTTCAGATAAAATACTTTAACAGTTATGCTATGACTGGAAGCCATGGTGGTATCGTCTGGTAGTCTTAGTTTCAGCTTCATAGCAAACGGGTCACCCCATCTTTGCTCCGCTCCTGTGCCAACGAAAAACACACAGAATGTTTATCACACTTCCTTGTGGAAAGATTGACAGACTGCTGTCTCAGCTTATCCAGCATACACTTGCATTAAAGCCATCCGAAGTGCTAACACAAACAGTCCGACATTAGAAATGCAGTTTATCATCGATGGTAGCAGAAGTCACCAACAGATCTGCAGTTGCTCACGCGATCAATTTTAATCACATACGGGCACCACCAAAATTGCGACGACAGACATTGCGCCATTTTCTGAATCTACAATTCACACCACCACGTTGGTCACAGTCGAAAAACATTCCAAATGAAATCCGCAGCTCACAGTGTCATGCCATGCATTCAACTCAAAAGCTGGACGACGAAACTATATCCAAACTATCTACAAATGGAACAAAAATGCATCATCCACCGTCCAGCAGAAGCATAAAATTTGCCTCAGCTCCAAACAGTGGCCCGCCTAGCATCCATTTTGACCGGTTAGCTGGTGGTAAAATGGCTAGCATGCTTACTTATCAGTCCAATGGTCAGTTGTTCAGATTTTCATTTTAATGGATTTTAAAACATTGTACTGCCTGAAGATGCTTACCAGGATATTTTATGAAAAGTGGTAAAGGTTGCCACCTGGTATGGACTCATTCGTCCATCGTTTGCCAGTTGGTGTACACAGATAATTGGGCTAGTATGTATGAAGACGTGGGAACTAATTTAACATTCTGTGTGTTTTCATTTATCCATCTTCATTTGCAGATTTCACCTTTCTTTGTGTTGTGTTTTCCTATGACGTTATTGCGCAGTTTTCAGCATTCTTTGTGTTGTGTTTTCATTTGATTTGTGTGTGCAGATTTCAGCATTCTTTGTGTTGTGTTTTCAAGTATTTCTTGTGCATATTTCAGCATACTGTGCATTATGTTTTCTTGTGTTTCATGTACAGATTTCAGGATTCTGTGCCTCATGTTTTCATGTATTTCTTGTACACATTTCAGCATTCTGTGCATCATATTTTGTATGTTTCTTGTGCATATTCTGTTTGCATTCTCTGAATTATTTTTTGTATATTTCATATGCATATTTCAGTATTCTGTGTTATTCTGTTACTCATGTAAATGTTTGTGTTCATATTTCAGCATTCAGGGCAAGAGAGTGTTCACTCACAAGGGAGACAGATCCAAGGATAACATTGTAGAGTTTGCTTTAAGAGCACAAGGGTAAACATTGCATATAATCATAGCCACATTCAGCGATTTTTTTTTAATGCATGACTATTTATTAGATGGTCATATAAAGAATAAGGAAGAATATAAAAACAATAGATTGTGAGTATACTGGAGGAAGATGTAAAGCTATAAGTAAAGGAATGATTGAAGAAATCATCACTTTTTTCAGCTGTGCAGACTCGGTAGTTGGGTAGAATTAACTAATCAAAGCGACTGTATTTCACAGACTTTAAATGAGTTCCCCCAAATCAGCTCTTCCTGAAACATGACAGCATTAATTATGGAATTGAAAAAAAAAAAAAAGCAACATTAGTGTCCTGCCCACAAATAACAGAACTAGTCTGGAACTGGATCTTAACCCACCCATTTGGCTGGACATGAAAAGGAGGTGAGCTTGCAGATGCCACAGTAAACCTTCTTTGGCAACACCCCCCCCCCAATATTTAACCTTTCACCCCAAGATAGCCAGTTTTCTTACTTTCTACAGGTGTTTTATAACAGGATGTCTTTGGGCAGTGGCCACTTTGTCTATATAACAGCTTTGGCACTGGTTGCAACCGCAGTGTGTGGTTTGGCACTGGTTGCAACCGCAGTGTGTGGCAACCTGGTGGCTGTGATTATTTTTACCAGAATAATTGTTTTTGTTAAATAAAAACTGACCAGGTCTGCAAATTTCATCTGCTTCTCTGCCAGTTAATTGGTTGGGGTAGAGTTTCAATAAATTCTAATGGTGCCTTTTTTTTTTTTTAAGTGTTGAAAATCATGTTGTGAGATTCTAACTGGGTGAAAAGGTGACACTGCTAAGGTAATCTATGAAGATAAATTTGAGAGAAGGAAATAAGAATGATGAACCAGAGCTGGAGAGCATAAACAGACTCACCAGTGTAGACTTGAATATTCAGACTAAGAACAGAATACTGTAAACTTAGAGCACATGTTCGTCAAATGGGTTTTGCCAACTCTGCCGCATGCAGGCACACACAAACAAACCACAGAGTAGGTGTTACCTGATTGTCCAGATTTTAGCAATCAGAAAGAGAGAATCTGGCACACAGTAGCCACCCTTCAAGATAAATCTCTCTGGAGTACTATAATAAAAGTTCTTGAATGCTGTCTTTTTTCAGAAACTCAATTATTTTGGCCATATCAGGTTTTATGGCAGATTGGAAACACATTGTAGCAGAGGGCACAGGTACCAGGAAAATGGAGCAGGAGCCCACCACCATGAAGATGGGAACAGGATATAAGTGAAACTTTGGGTAGGAAAGCACACAAGGTGGGAGAGCTGGCGAGAGACCAAGTTTCTTTCAGGCAGACCCTGATGAGAGCGATGTTCTTCAAAGGACCTTCACCATGATGATCTCAAGCTGGATATTGACATCACACCTCTAAATCACTCTGACCTTTATCTCTCAGTGTTTCCAGAATACAAAGGAATTCACACTGTGTCTGAACTATGAAAACGTATTTACTGTTGGTTTATTCCTTTCAGACCTGCAGTTCGGACACTGAGCAGTGTGGAAAAGTTCCGTGAGGTAGTCCAACAACATAATGATTCTGTGTTTTTTATCTACATAGGAGACAGTGATCAGGAAGATTTCTTTGTGAGTTCTATATGATTTACTTTCTCTTTAATATATCTTTTTATTTATCCATTTATAAACTTTCAGCTTTTTTTTTTCTTTCTTTTTAGCTTGTTGCAGTCATCATAATTCTTGTATTCATTTAGTATATTCTAATACTGACTTTTTTTCTTCATGTTTGTCTCTTTGTCTTATTTTTCCAAATCCTTCCTCCTAGTATCAGATTCCATATTTGGTAACATCCATCACAGAATGAGCGAATGAATCAAGAATTGACATCACTGAACTTAGGACTTTCATATGTGTGCTCCATCCCCATCTTCAGTAACCAGTGAAATGTTTAGATTGATTATTATACCAGTTGCAACCTGATTAAAAACCCTCATCTGTTTCCCCTTCAGTGTTGAATATCTTCCAGAATCTCTCCTGACCCTCTCAATGAATTAGTCG